TAAGGTTTTTAAAAATTTGGTCCACTTTTTTTCCTTTAGTAGTTTGGAATATATAAGTTCAGATAATTAAGTAATTAAGTTCACAAATTCATCCTAGAAAAAGTGCTACATGCCTCCCTATGGTCACCTTCAAAGTACTCACCTTGGGAGCGATGCTCTGATATCAGAGCCTAGTTTACTCTTCTGAACAATTCTGGAACCTTTTCTGGAATGGATATCAGGGCTGTCATAGGAGATCTGATCAGTTAAGTTCATGAACTCATCCTAGAAAAAGTGCTCTGAGGTGTGGACTAGGCGCTGGTGCCGGTGGATAGCTTCCCCACAGGAGTACCGCAAAGGTGACCATAGTGATAGATATTCAGCAATGAGGCATGTAGCACTTTTTTTTTTTTTTTTGAGACATAGCCTCAAGTGCTATGGCTTCACTGCTCGCAGCAACCTCCAACTCCTGGGCTCAAGCGAGTCTCCTGCCTCCGCCTCCCAAGTAGCTGGGACCACAGGTGCCCGCCACAATGCCTGGCTATTTTTTGGTTGCAGCCATTATTGTTGTTTGGAGGGTCCAGGCTGGATTCGAACCTGCCACCTTAGGCATATGTGGCTGGCGCCTTAGCCGCTTGAGCCACAGGCGCCGAGCCGCATGTAGCACTTTTTCTGGGATGAGTTTGCAAACGTAATCGTCGGACCTCATAATTGTCAGACCTCTATTTTCCTAGTGGTTGACATTTAAATATTTAACATTTCTATTTATATACACTTTTCCCTTAGTTACGCATAAGGATAAACAGTATCCATTTCTTCTCCCTAGACAAGAAAAGAATCTTAGCAGTTTCACCTTTCACATTCTCCTTCCACCTCACTTCCTACCTTGTTGAGATAACAGGGGATTTTACTTCCAAGTTGCTAATAATCTTTTGTACATTTTCCTTTAATAACTACTTAGATTTACCATAAGCTTTATAATTTTTTTGTTCATAACTCATAACTATAAAGTTAATAATGTTTTTATTCATATTATTTCTCTGCTCATTCTGTTTCTTTGATCCATTTTTCATTCTGTTGAATTGTACATCCTTATGTACTTGCTTCGGGTATGGGTTACGTGGAGAACCAAACTTTCTGGGTTCTTATGCTGCTGTAAATCTATTTTGCTTTGCTACTTGAATGCTGATTAGACTGCATAGAGGAGTCTAGGTTTGAAAATACATTTTACTCATGATTTTAAACATATTATTCCTCTGTTTTCTAGTATGTACTTTTCTTGATGAGACATCTAATGCCAAATGAAGCTTTTAAAAGTAGTTTACTTTTTCCTCTTTGGCAACACTACTTATTAAGAAACTGTCCTTTCTCCATTTTGTGTTCTTGGTACATTTCTCAAAAATCAATTGATTATAAATAACTGCATTTATTTCTGGGTTCTCGATCCTGTTTCTCTGGTCAATATTCTGTTTTTATGCCAAGTATCATGACATTTGGGTTGCTATAGCTTTGAAGTAGATTTGACATCAGGTAGTGTGATGCCTCCAGCTTGGTTCTTTTTCCTCAAGATTGCTTAGGTTGCTTGGAGTCTTTCATAGTTCTACATAAATTTTAAAATTTTTTTCTATTTCTGTGAAAAATAACATTGGAATTTTGATAGAAATTGCATTGAATTTGTAGGTCACTTTGGGTAGTACAGATATTTTAACATTTTTCATTCTAACCATCCATGAACATAGGATACCTTTTCGTTTATTTGGGTCACCATCTACTTCTTTCATCAATGTTTTATAGAGATCTTTCACATTCTTGGGTAAATTTACTATTATGTATTTTATTTTACTTTTCATGCTTGCTATTCTGAATGGCCTTGATGTCTTAATTTATTTTTCAGATAGTTCATTATTAGCGTAAAGAAATGCTGCTTGTTTTTGTGTGTTGATTTTGTATCCTGCAGCTTTACCAAATTCATCAGTTCTAATAGTTTTTGGAGAGTGGGGTGGAGTCTTAAGATTTTTCTATGTATAAGATTATGTCATTGGCTAACAGACATAATTTCACTTCTTTCTTTCTTGTTTCAACACCTTCTGTTTCTTTTTCTTATCTAATTGGGCCAGCTAGAACTTTAAGTACTATGGTGAATAGAAGTGGTAAAAATGGGCAAACTTGTCTTATTCCTGATCTTAGGAATTTTTGCCCATTGAGTATGATGTTAGCTTTGGGTCTGTCATATATGGTCTTTATTATGTTGTGGTACATTCCTTGTATTCCTAATTTGTTAAGAGTTTTTGTCATTGAAAGGATGTTGAATTTTGTTACATGCTTTTTCTGCTTGTATTGAGATGATCACATGGTTTTTGTTCTTCATTCTGTTAATGTGTCATATTTATGGATTTGTATATTTTGAATCATCCTTGCATACCAGGTTTAAATTCCACTTGATTATGGCGAATAACGTTTTTAATGTGATGTTGAATTCTGCTTGCTAGTATTTTATTAAGGAATTTTGCATCTGTCTTCACCAGGGATACCTGTCTGTAATTTTCACTTCTTGTAATGTTCTTGTCTGGTTTTGGTATCAGGGTAATGCTGGCCTCATAAAATGAATTGGGAAGTATTCCCTTCTCTTCAACTTTTTGGACTTTCCCCCTTTTTAGAAACGTCTAGGATATTTTTGTTATTCTTGGTATTCTAAAAAGTCTTTACAATGTATTTAGTTAAGGGTCTTTTTGATTAATATATTCTGCACATAGTAGGTCATTTCAATCTGAAGGCCCATATCTTCACCTGAAATTTAATTTGATCATTCCTTTATTTCATTCTTTCCATTCTGACTATTCTTTTTTGTCTAGAATTTCTGTTACACAGAAGAGTCTAACTTTTACATCCTATTTTCTATCTCTTCATCCTTCTGGCTCCATAGTGACAGAATCACCTGCTCGATCTTCCAGCTCATTAATTCACTCTTTAGCTGTGTCCATTCTACTGTACTTACCATCTGCTTTTTAAAAATAGTTCAATGATTGCATTATCCCCCCCAGTTCATGTTTTACTTTTCTATTTTTAATAATTGTGGCCACTCCTCCACCTTCTCCTCCTTCTAATTTAACAGATGTGTCGTGTTCTCCAATCTCCCTAAATGTAGGAATTATACATTTTTTCAAATGTATTCTTTTCCTCCTCAGGTGTTCATCTGTTAGTTGAGTGGGGTGCCACTCATTCTTGATGTTGGTTTTCCCCAAATACTTGGGATTATCATTAATTATTCTTTGTAATCTAGAACACAGTTCACATCTTGGTGAATCAAGTTCTTATCATGGGAGCCTCTTTGGGGATGACATAAGAAAAAACAAGATGTGCTGCGAGGTGGCTGAGCAGGTAGCTTCTCTATGGGTTCCCTGAGGGGCCCTGCTCTGCCTCTCAGACTTCAGAGCCCAGGGGTGTGATGCCAAGTGTTGCTTTCAGCTTGTGAGCATTCACAGGTGCTCTCCGAATGCAAGTCTCTGAGAAGCCAGCCTGCCTACTGCCCCAGGCCTCTCCTGTGCCTTGTGTCTGTTGACCCTGAGCTCAGAGAGCCCCTGGTTGCTCTCACATCCTTCATGGTCCTCACTCATCCTCTTTGGTGGTGTGATTTTCTCAGGTCTTGTTCCCTTATCAGTTGAATCCTTACTCCTGTCTTCCATGTGGGAATCTCTCAGCATTTGTGGTTCACTGATAGCATCCTCCATGCTTTTCTCCCCTAGCACTGTTATGAATTTCTTTTTCTTTTTATTTTTTGCAGTTTTTGGCTGGCCACCTCCAGCATATGAGACCAGTGCCTTACTCCTTCGAGCCACAGGTGCCGCCCATGAGTTTATTCTTTTAAAAAATATCTTCTGTCTGGGCGTCACCTGTGGCTCAAAAGGGTAGGGCGCTGGCCCCATATGCCAGAGGTGGCGGGTTCAAGCCCAGTCCCGGTCAAAAAAAAAAAAATATCTATCTATCTATCTATCTATAGATATAGATATCTTCTGTCATTATAGACTTTAGGAAAGGAGGGAAAGTTTGACCCATGTGCTCAGTCTGATATCTGTGTCCAACTCCCATACTCAAATGTGGCACAGTCCTAAGTGTTGTTAATAGCTGTTTACAATGGTTCTGTGTTCTGCTACTTTATTATCCGAGGTATAATACAGTGGTGATATCTGGCTGATATTTAGGGAGGCTGCCATTTTGATACATTTTGACCAATAGTGATACCTGGGCTTAGGTATGGGGGAAGGGTTTGGTAGAACATAGTGAAGGTGGGGCTATCAAAGAGTCCCCAGACCCCCTGGAAACCCCAGGGAATAGGAAAGGACTTGCTGCTTCTCCTAATGCCAAAGTATATAGACTATATGAGCTAGAAGGAACTTGAGAAGTCATGTAGTCCATGACTACCAGTAGTTTTTATCTACCAGCCCTGGACTAGATGCAGGGCCCAGGGCTCTAGAAAGTGAGGAGGATGAAGTCTGGGGTAGAGCACAGGGGCTGCTGCTAGTCAGATGAGAAAGGAGAAGCAGGCTGCAGCTGCTCACTAAGGGTCAGGCATGAGAAACACCCTCTTCTCCAGTCACACTCGAGGCTTGTGTCCTTCCAAGAAGTGTGAAGACTTGAGGCCGGCTTCAGTGAGGATAAAGCTCAGGGCATGTGGACATAAGCACCCACAGGGCAACACCCCATGGGGGCTCAAGAGAAGTTAGATGTTTTGCTCAAGGTCATAAAGTCAGCATGTTGTCAGCATGGCCTTGAGCCTGTTCAGATTCCAAACCAGGCTGCTTTTGTTATGTGACTTTGGGTTGTCCCAGTGTGTTAGTGTCTAGTGGACTACTCCATGGAAAGTTGTCATAAATAGCAATGTCACAAATGGCTCCCTGTCAGGGTCCAGAGAGCATTCATTCTCTCCCTTCTCACTCCCTTGGACAGTTTCCCCTTATTCTATAGCCAGGCCATCAGGTGGCACCATGCAGGTGTGTATGTACACCTGTGTCCTTGAGACCCACCTGAACAGGAGGAGCACAGCCTGGGGGAAGGTCTGAAAGTTGTTGTTCCGGTTGATCTCTGTGGTGTCATTCAGGGCAATTTTCCCAAACACCTGGCAGAGGGAAGGAAGAGGTATTCAGTGACCCACAGACACAGGGGGGTCCTAATTCCCACCATCATTCAGCGGTCTCTTCATGGGTTGCAGGTGACTCTAAGACCTGCTGGTTTATAAGCGGAACAGAGTCTCCTAATGTGACCTGGGCTGCTGCCCAGCCTGACCCAATCCTTACTCTGGAGGAGGGTCTGCAGCCTTTAGGAAGGGTCCGTGGGAGCTGGAGCTGAGAGCAGGCAGATGCGGAGACCTGGACCTGCTTCTGTGCAGGGGCACAGGCGCGCTGGCCTTCTTTTCTTTGCCATTTCAGCTCTGTCTGCCCAGCACTCTTCCAAATTTAGTTCTTGCACTTTGGAGTGCTACAGAGTGAGCGATCTGGGGCTTGGGCAGACTTAATTTATCCTGGAGATCAGAGGTCTCCTTTTTTTAACCCTGCCCTTTGAAAGCTATGCTTATCTTAGAAACTGCTACCCTTTGGGTAGCTCTTATAATCTCAGAGGTTTTATTATGAACCTTTGAGTCTTCTTTAATGAGCAAGTAAGGGTTTGCTCAAGGAGCTACCAAGAATACACTCTAGGCTAGTGTGGCTCTGCTAAGTGTGGCCTTGGAAACTCAGCTGGGGCCCTGGGGAGAGGCTGGAGAGCTCTGAATCTGGGGAGGAGAAGGTGCAGTGGGCACCTGGAGCGTCCAAGGAAACTGCTGCATGCTCCATGGGACACAGTCTGCTTTCATTTGTTCCTTAGTTTGTTCCTTCCTACCCTCTTCCCTTCTTCCCTCTAAGTCAGGAGTCCTCAGACTATGCCCTCCGGGCCACATGTGGCCCGCCTAGGACATTTATCCGGCCCCCCTGGGTGTTTTTGCCACTGCTGCCTGTCCTGCTTAGCAGTCAACTCATCCCGGGGCCCGCAGTCTGGCCCTCCAATGGCCTGAGGGATAGTGAACTGGCCTCCTGTTTAAAAGTTTGAGGACCCCTGCTCTAAGTCATTAGTTTCTTCTGAATGACTCTGGTTGGGGGATTGTGGAGTGTGGATTGTGAGGTGGCAAGACCCCCACAGCCCAGGAGGTGCGTTCAGGGAACGACCCCCAAACTGTTTCTCCTCCCTTCCTAAAACAATAGTTCTTTCTCCTTGCTCCCTCTGCCAGAAGCCACCTAGCTTCTGTATATCTTTTGCCTAAAAGCACATCGCCTTCTCTCCCTAGAGTTAATCTTTACCCCACGTACTATTACTTCCCCTCAACCTTGTAAAATGAAAATATTCCCACTAGCTTTCCCTGCTCATTTGCAACATTGTTAGCATGGCAACCTAGTTTAGGCACTATATAAATGAAGCTGTTCACACGGTTAGGTGCTGGTTGCAGCCATCAGCTGAGCCAGACTTCCCAGCCCCATCACTAATATCTCTGGTGTGATCTTTGTCTCCGTGTGTCTTATTTTCTCATTCCCCACCATTCTCCCTCTGGTTTGTTCACTCTTTGAGCTGGCTCATGAAAAGGGGATTATTCTCAGGCCCAGCTGGCCTGGACAGAGAGAGGATGCTGGTTCACATACCTGGCTGCTGTTCCCTGAGATGGCCATGTCACTCCTGGGGCCTGTGAAGGGTAGGCCTCTGGGCTGTACTTGGCCATCCCCCCTGCTAGCTATGGGATATCCCTTTGGGGGATGTTCTAATGTCTGTGACCTTTGGGGCCTCAGAAGATGGAGGAGGAGGGAGAGGGACAGTGAGGAAAAAGAGGGAGAAGGAGAGAGGAGGGCAGCAGTGTGGGAAGCAGATGCGATGCCGTGGGAGAACTCCTCCTACCTGCATCCCGATCACAGCGTAGATGAAGAACAGCATCACGATCAGGAGGGCCACGTAGGGCAGGGCCTGGAAGGAAGTGCATGAGGCTGCCGTGAGGCTGCAGCACACAGGCCACCACGTCCCCGGCTCTGTAGCCGTCAGCAGCATTTCCGAAAGCCCCACGAAGTAATGGGCACCTGGGAGTGGTCTGAGAGATGGACACTGACTTCTCATTTTAGCTTGGCTTTAAAAGCTGGCTTCAGAGTTGGGGGTATAGTGTGACAGCACGTTAGCAAAAACCGCCACACAGGAGCAAAACCTGGCCTACACACACAGATCTGTACACGTAAGGAGTGTGCCCTGGAGGATGATACCCCGCTGATGTGGGTCCCTGGGGAGGCAGGCCACACCTTTTCTTTACACAGCTTAGTCTTGCTCCCCAGATGTAGCAGTAAGTACGGCTATTCTGATTAAAACATTTAATAAGAGAACACTTAAAAGAAAGATCATGGGCTCAAATTCTACTTAAGCCACTTGCTAGCTTATAGCAATACAGTAATTGATCTGGGTTGCGTCAGTTTTCTCATCTGAAAAAGGGGAGTAATAGTAATTCTCAGGGGTTTTGTGGAGCGTAAACGATTTGGGTTTTACAAAGTGCTTAGTGCAACGCCTTGCACAGAGTTGGGTTCTATACATTTGATTCACTTCACATGCAATCTGCCAGGCAACTCGGACAGCTTAAATTCTCCACAGTTCCCGTCCCTTCTCCGGGAAGAAGCGCCGAGCCGGCCTGGAGTCCCCTGCTCGCTCCCGAGGGGCGGCGTCACCAGCCACCGCTAGATGGCGTTAAGAGACCACACGACGCCGCTTCCGCCCGGCTGGCGCTCCCACTCGGCGCTCACCCAGGAACGTCGGGGGTTGGGAGAGCACAGTGCGGGCGGGTAAGGCCACTCAACGCTGTGGCACTCCAGGGTGCACCCACACCACATTGATTAGTGTTTATGATTCTTAATCTTCAGAACCCTCGCAGCTGATTAGGGCACAGAGTCAGCCTGTATTCCGGGGGAGGAAGACAGGCTGTCAGGAGGCGTAGACAGGACAGGCCTGTGACTGCTGGTCCAGGGTTCCTGGAGGGCTGTGCCTCCGGAATGGAGCTCCAAGCAGGGCAGGCTCCAGACGGCAGAGCACCGTTCCCAGGCTGCAGCTGTAGCCCGGCAGCCTGAGCCCAGCTGGCCGGGGCAGGGGACACAGAAGGCACTTCTCCCGTCTGAGAGTCGTCCCTCCCTGAGAGGAGAGAAGCCTGCCTGCTGCACCAGGCCAGGGAAGCGTGAGACCATATTTAGGGTTTCTATACTCATCTTCTAGGAATTCGAGTGACCTAACAGTTTTGCTTCTCTTTAACTTCAAACTTACATAACATTCCTCAGGGCTGTCCAGGGGAGAGCACGATTCCGTTTTTACAGGTGGGAAAAGAAATCAATCACATAGCTAGGCAGTCCTGTGCCCATCCGAGGGGACCTCTCTCTTGGGGTAGAGTGACACCAGGGTCCCACAATTGGGCTAAGGACATAAATAGGGGTGATCAGCAGATGCTGCTGAAATGCCCATGAGGAGAAAGGTGGCAGCCAGATTCTGAAAATCAGAGGGGACCATAGTGGTTAACCAGATTTTTCAGACCCATGGTTTCCAAGTTTGTTCCTCACTACAAAACCCCTTTGTCCGGCACATTCTTGTAGAAAAATGAGAAAGGCAGACCCTTTTAGCCTCCCCTCCCCTCTTGCCCTTCCTGTACCATTTGACCTTGGGGAAATCAGAGGCCCCAGGAGCCTTCGTGTGAAAACCACTTATTCTGTCTGACCCCCTCATTCAGAAGTGAGGAAGCAGCTGCAGCTGCATGAATGGCTGTGACTAGTGAGCCCGGAGCAGGCACCCCAGAGTGGAGCGCCCTCCTCCCCATCTCAGTGCCATCCCGGGGCCCAGGCGGCAGCTGGGGGGAGACGTGGAGGTTCTTTCCCTTGGGCTACCTGGAAGGACTTGATGAAGGTCCACAGCAGGGTCCGGATACCCTCTCCGCGGCTCAGCAGCTTCACCAGGCGCATGACCCGGAAAAGGCGGAAGAAGGTGATGGAGATGCGGGAGTTTTCCTCTGCACTCTGGAACCCAGCGGCAACAGGAGGTGCGGTTAGCACCGCAAGAGAGGAGTGGGGTGAGAAGGGGTGAGCCCGCTCCAAGAAACAGCCCTCAGTGGGGTGGCAGGCCAGGGTGGGGGCTTGCTGCACTAGACTCGCCCCCCTGGCTCACAGACAGGAGGGCAGCCGTCCATGCCCAGCCCTGAGGTCTCCCCTGAGCCAAGGTGTGCCCAGGCCCCTGAGCTGCTCGAAGCCCCATTTTCCTATTCTCGTCCCCTTCATTCCTAGTTCTTAATGCCTTGGATGAGCAATAGAAGATTCCATGAGGAACTACCATATGCTTTGGAATCTTCTAGGCTCATAGATTGCTGCCCTTGGAGCCCCTGCCTCTGCCATAGTGTGCAGGAACCAGCCCCTGCCTCTCTCTTGTCTGGCTCGGCTGAGGGTTCTGCATCCTGAGTGAGACCTGGCTCACTGTGAGGGTGCTGGCTGGGGGTGGCCTCTCTCATGGCCCGAGGTGTGCACCATGTGGGGTTCTGGTGTATGTGTGGGGTCTGCCCAGGAAGAACCTTGCCCCCTGGCTGCTCAGGACTCCAGCACATCTCAAATTACCTCCTTCTACTTCCCACAGCCCCTATCCCTAAAGGACTCCAGGGAGGGATGGAGAAGGTGCTGCTCAGTGCTGGGACAGGGTCCGGTCTGTAGCACTTGCTTTGGCACTATTGTCTCTACTGCTCCCTGCCCCGGCGCCTCTAGGCTGCACAAGACTCTGGAAAGGGGTGGAGGCACAGGAAAGGGGAAGGGAGAAGAGGCCAGGACCCGGTGTGTGAGGACCCAGGAGCTGTGCTTAGGGCACACTGTCTCCCTGAGTGCAGCCCTGGTGGTGGCAGTGGGGCTGGAATGCAGGCCAGGGCAAGCTGACTGGGGTTGTGCTGCTCAGCAGCTGCTGGGCCTAGAAGAGCCTAGGGGCTTGGGCATGTGCCTGGCCAGGACTCAGGGCGCAGGACAGGCTGCCCTGTCACCCTCTGCCTCCAGACCTGAGAACAACATGAACCGATTGCCTCTATGGCCCTCCTCCTACCCACACCGCCTAGTGGGTACTAACCCGCCAGGGAGCCACTGCTGCTGTCCCTGGGGCTAGTGCAGCTCACCCAGCCCTGTTGGCACCAGGAGAGAACGGACCCTTGCAGCTTCCTGTTACGGTTCCCATCCACTGGGGCTGTCTGGATCCTCCCCGCTGCTCACTTCACTTCTCCTCTTACTGTATTTTAATTAATTCCAGGTCAGACCTTCCCTGGCAATATCCACACCTTGTTTATACCCCTGGAAACCTCACTAACACTAAAGCTCTGAGGGTTCCCACTCTAACCCCATGGCCTACTGTGGCTGTCCCTGATGGGCTTCAGAGGGCACCCATCTCCTCCTGTGCAGGGTGGGAGGCCCATGAGGGATGCTGGAGGTATGGAGATAGCCTTCTCAGGTCTGCATGCCTGCTCCACACAGGAGCCACACCAGGAGGTCTCTCTTGGTCTTCACACAGGAGAAGAGTCAATGTATCTCTTATATCTCAAAATCAGAGCTTCCCCCCAAGGCAGGGGACAGACTCGTGGCGGGAGGGCCTGCTCCGTGTGGGCCCCGACGTGGGGCAGGAAGCTGTGGGCAGCAGCCTGCCTGCCTCCAGCCCTGCCTGCCTGTGCTCTCAAGTCCTTGATCTTCGTATCCCTATCACCTGTGCATCTGCTTGAAATTCTATTTCCACTCCTTAAAAGGAGGTTGTGTTCCCCCCAAGGAGTTTGCAGAGGTGGCTTAAGGTTTTATAATTCAGCTGTCAGTTCCACCATTATTGGGGAAAGGAGAAAAAAGAAAGAACAAGCTTAAGTGGGGAACTTCAGCTATGCCAAGAACTGGAGAAGTTGGTGCCACAGGGGCATCTGGATCTGTTGAGTTAAAAAAAAAAATCAACACACCAAAAACCCAGCATGCAGTCTGAATTTCACTCTGCTGTGCAGACCTCTCCATAGATGCTGCTGTTCCCTAATGCTGCTCGAGAAGGAGGATAAACACACTACCATGTAGACACTCCAGTGTCCTCTCAGGACAGAATGACAGTGCAAGCAGCAGCAGATCCCCATGGCAGGGCCTGTGATGCGGGGCAGAACACCCCCAGGCTGGCCTTTCCCTTGGCAGCCTTTTGGACAGGCTGGGGTGGACTGCCTTGGGGAATACCACCCCCAAATCTTGCCGCCAGCCTGCTGAATTTGGGGGCCCACGGTTTCAGGCCACTGGTCCATTTAAAAACTTATACTTGACCCAGTTTGAAATGTGTGGCAGCAGCCTTTCGGAGGAAGCTGCTTCAAGGAGATTTCAAGGTCACACTGAGTGACATCTCTTCCATGTAAGCCACAGCGAATCATAGACTCCTACACCACGAGTGGCCCAATCAACTGAACTTGTTTTTCCACTTCCAACCTGCTTCAAAAAGGTGGTGATAGCCTAATTTTAACAAACTTCAGAAATTCAGAAAAATGCGAGGGGTAACATGGTTGGAGTCCTAGAAATTCAACCACCCTCTAACTAATCACAGCTTAACTTTGTATGGTGTGATGCTTGGAGCACAGGGAGGCTAGTGGCTACAGGCACTGATTAGTAGGAAGCACCGTCTGCCCATGTGTCTCCTAGCTGGGTCACTTCTCTCTTCCCTCCTTTCCCTAGAGGCTCCTACTACAGCCTTCATGGGTACCCTGAACTTTCCCACATCAGATTAAGGTTAGAGGCTTCAGCCAGTGGAATCCCTGGGGTGTGTAACAGGAAATGGCCCTTGGGTCCAGTTCTCTCCTAGTGGCTCGTTAGATAGTTGACATCGCAGTGAATCACCACTCACAGGGAAGCTCAGGGAGGTAAAAGAACATCATTGCACAAACAGCATCTTCACACAAGAACACGACAGGCAGGCAAGGCACACAACAGACACGGTGGCCACATGCAGCAAGAGCCAGGAGGGCTCTGGAAGACTCTGGAGGTCAGGGCAGGGAGAGTGGGGTGCTTGAGGGGGATCACAGAAGCTGGGAGCGTGGTTGGGGGGGGTCGGTCTTACCATAGAGGGAGAGCATTGGGTATGTTCAGCTGGCTTTAAAGAAAGGCAGATAGAGATAAGCTGTAGTGAGTCTCCAATGAAGACGCCTGGTATTCTAGGTCTGCGTTAACACAGGAGCAACACAGTGGCAGGAGAGGGCAAAAGGAAACAAGTGAAAGAAACACAGAAGCGTGGGCCTGGAAGGTGCTGGGGTGTCCCATGAGTGTGGGCTCCATGTCAGAGTTCCATGTCTAACAAAAGAAGCCATAGTAGGCATCTTCCTGCCTGTGACCATCCCGGCCACAAAGTCAGTAACTTGCACGCATTGTAGACAAGGGATTTGAGATTTTGTGGATGGAAGCTTTGATTTTTTTTTTTTTTAAGTTAACCATGTGCTCTGAGATAACCTTTGAGGGCCTGTACTTATGCCCTTTAGCTCACCCAGGCAGGACCAACTGAAGGACAAAGGCCTTGCTGGCCCCAGTGCCTGTCCTTGCCCACACATATTCAAGCAAAGCAGTCCAAGGGCAATGGCCCCTCAGGGTTAGGGGAAGACTGAGGACCTCAGGAGGTGGCCTCAACCCCTCCACACAGGGCTGGTTATCATGCTGGGGCTCAGGCAGGAGGTGGTCTTGCCCAGCTACTAGTTATGGGTGTGGGGAACCTTGGCCCCTGGCCTGGAATAGTTGAGTGTTGGATTGTTTCCTAAACCTTAAAGCTCTGCAGATAATTTAGGATATTATTAACATCCCAAGGAGCTATTCTCATAGGGCTGAGTGCTGAACTGGTTTGGTGTAGGAGCTGAGAAACGGGCCTCAGGTGAATATTCCAGACTCACTCCCTCCCTGGGAACCCGAGCCTGTGTCCGGAAGGCCCAGACTCCTCGGGTTCTAGCTCAGACGGCTCAGCCCCTGCCTGATCTGGAGGGCCCTACAGTCATGACTTAGCTTTTACCTTCCATTTTCAGATGGCTTCTCTTGTCTTTCTGTTTTTAAGGTACAAACCAGGAAAACATGTAATGGAATTTTTGAGGGGCAGAAATTTGTGCAACTAGACATTCGATTGCAGTCTGAAACTACTTCTTTGGCAACAGATTTCTCAGCCAATTGTTATCTTTTTTTCCATAGAAAGTTGGGATGTCCTTTTTTGGGAGTCGTGGAAGGTAGGGGTGAAGTGAAGGAAGAGAAAGGGACGCTTCTCTAGTCACTGATAGAACATTCTAGATCTAGATCTCAAAGTCTCAGTTTCTGCTTCATGAGGCTTACCAGAAAGTGGAGGGTGCAGGGTCACTAGGATCTGGCTATTGGGGTGAGATTGAACACAGAAATGAACACAGACACACACACAGACACACACATGCACAAACACACAGACATACACACACACACACGCACACACACACGGGAGATGTCAAAGCACTGAAACTTCCTCTCCTGGGTATGTGACAGTTGCCCAACATGTCCTCTGGCATCCTCCTGCCCCCACCCCCAGGCTGCCAGTGCTTGGGCTCCCGTGTTAATGGATACAGAGCTCTGTGTTTCTCAGGCGTCCATAGTGGGTGAGCAGCTGGGGGAGGAAGTCTGCACCATGGAGTCCAGGGCATTAGGCAGAGTTCCCAGGAGGTTTGGGCCACTGCTCTTCTCTGGGTGCCACCCCGAAAAACATCCCAGATGCTGTGACTTCTAAGAACTCTGGGAAAATGCTTGGATGTCTTCTGGGTCAATCTCATCTTGATTAGGACCAAAATGGAGACATTTCTGAGAACCTACCTGGGTTTCCCTGGCCTAACTGAACTAACCTCTCACCATTTAGAAAAATAAATTATTTTATTTCATTTTTCTTCCTAAACATTCAGGATACCTCACTTAGGATTTTGAAACATTTGTCTTAACAGTCTTTTTTTTTTTTTTTTTTTTTTGCTTTTTAGCCTGTTATAGCTCCCATCCAAGATCACATTTGAATCCTACTTTAGGTCAAGATTTAGTGTCAGGTCTGGGTTTGTTCTAATAATCTGGATAATATTTCATTATTTTAATAACATGTATTAGCTTAATGCTCCTTGTGGCATGTCTCTCTGACAGCAGACAAGGAGGAGTCAGGAGGAGTTTGAGGGCAGTAGAGAGACAGTGTGAGGATGAGGGCCCACTGGGGTCTCTGTGTTGGGTTCGCTGGCCCAGGTCATGGCCGTTCTCATAGACCCTCACTTTGAAGAATCTAGAGACTCAGATTAACTTTTTCTTGAGCCTTACACCAAGCTGTTCAAAGGCACTTTAGACTTGTGGCAGCAGTGCTGCTTTTAACACAACAAACCTGCTCTTAGGTGAGGAGTTAGGCTTACCAAATCCCTGGTCTCAAAAATGAATAAACCACTTGCAATAAAACAAAAAAGCCATCACTGAGTGATTTCACTGTGGAGAGAAAGGAAGAAGTCTCAGACACAGCTCCTGCCTCACAGCACCTGTGGTCTACAATGCACTGGATAGCTCCCAGATGACCCCACAGAGCCATCTGAGTCTCTGGTGCCCTTCCCAGCTGCACGGGAAGCCCTGCTGGCTGGAAGTGCAGCTCCACCTCTGTGTTGTCACGGGCTCAGCACTTTTAGCCCAGAGACAGACAGGTCTGTGTTATCTCTTACTCTCTTTAAATACCTACCGTGAGAAACTACCTAGCCTCAGCTCTACTTTTGGATCTACATTCATAATTAGTTGGTAACGTGGAATACTTGGGCCATTGATCTCTGACCTTTCCCCAGATTCGGCCCTCCTTCCCTTGAGTCATATACAGTTTCACCATCTGTGGTCTTCCTGAGGGAAGAAAGGGGGTGTAAGATTCCCTGAAGGTGTATGGCCCACGAGCCTTTGAGACCCTGAATTCTCCCTCTGTGGGAACCAACAGAGCTGCTTACCTAACCTGAATGTTTTGGCTGAGTTTTAATTGCAGATTCTTTGCCAATGGTAGGCATGGAATAAATTTTTGAGTAGCCAGTTCCTTCATCTTTGCTTTCTAATGATCTGGTAATTTTCAAGTATTTCATGATACTGGGGCTATTAATTTGTTTGTGCAATTTACATAAATGAAATGAGGTTTTCATTCCATATCTGAGGCAGAGGGAGGGTGTTTTCAGAAAGAGTCCTTCTTAGTGGTTCCAGATAATGGGCCAAGGGCAGTAAGAGAGGAAAAGCCGATCACCTAACTTCAATAGATAATGATTATGCAGATCACCTTGGGCTGGTGGAACTGGCAGTGAGGCCAGTAAGAGATCTTCCCTGGGACACTAATTTTCTGAGTTAAGCTCAGAAATTAGAGATAGCACCTCAATGGGTGATGTCTTTGTTTCTAGGATGGATTCACTAAGCATCCCTTTCCACTGGGGTACTATCTCCAGACCACATTTATGATGCTGAGGGATGAAAACTGGGGAATGCAGTCATGCTAGGAGAGCTCAGCTGAACAGTCCTTCTGGCTGCCATCTTGTTCCACCCCACCTTGCTTGTCAATTTCTGAAAGGTCCACATAGGATTTTCATAAAGATTGCATTGAATCAATTTGGGTTTAGTGTCATGCTAACAAAATTAAGTTTTTCAAATCATGAACATAGGATGACACTCGATTTACTTAGCTTTTGTTTCAGTTCTTTTTTTTGCAGTTTTTTGGCTGGGGTTGGGTTTGAACCCGCCACCTCCGGTATATGGGGCCGGCGCCCTACTCCTTTGAGCCACAGGCACCACCCAGTTCCTTTTCACAATGTTTCATAGTTTTCAGAGTATACATTTTGCATTTATTTTGTTAAATTTATTCCTAAGCATTTTGTTGTTTTTGATGATATCAAAAATAAAATTAAGAAAATAATTTCATTTTTAGATGACTGAGCATAAACGTATAGAAATATAATTGATTTATGTATATGAATCTTTTACCCTGTAACCTTACTGAACTTTTATATTAGGTCTGACTGTTTTTTGATGTGCTTTTCAGGATTTTTAATGTATAAGATCAGGTCATCTAAAAATAAAAATTGCTTTAATTCTTAAAAAAAAAAAGAAAAAGAAAACTGGAGAATGACAGGGTGTAGCAGAGAGTAGGGCACCCCAGGTGGAGGGTTCCCAGAGGGTGGACGGTGTAGGAACCAGCGGCATGTATTTCCCGGTTGTCACATCACACTCTCTGGAGTCCTAAAAGGTAGTTGGACAATAGCTCTTCACCATATAAAAAAGGTTTTCAAAAATTAATGGTTAAAACCTCAGCCAGAGATAAGGATTACTAAAAAGTTAGGACCTAGGGAGAAGATCTCTGGATTGGAATGCTCAACTGAATTTTCTTATGGGGCGTTCTCTTGAGGTCGGGGATAGAGAGTATTCTGAAGGCCACGGTGGCATTCTCCTCGACATGTTGGCTTGGCAGGTACAGATCGCCTTCTAATTCCCTCCAGGGAAGGCTGATCCTTGGCCCTGAAGACCCACAGCTGCCATGGAGACAGTGCTGTCATTTTGGGAGCCCTGAGATTCTGTGTTCTCCTGAAACAGGTGTCAAAAGTGACGTCATGGTAGTATGTGAGTCCTTCACTGGCTGCCTTGCTACACAACTCTTGCTGTATTTTTTTGGAAAATCTCTTATCCAGGACTTGGCTCTAGTATGGGTTTTGTTTCAAAGCACCTGAAGGCCCAGGCCTGGCTGGCACCCCATGCCCTGGGCACACCCTGCTTCTCTGCCTTTACTGTCTCCTGCTTCATTCTGATTTGATCTGCAAGACAGAGTGGGAGACTTGGGTGGGGCTTTGTTGGTGAGACCTCAGAGGTAACCGAGGTGGGAAGATAGTTATTAGGGGCTTCTACAGCCATTCTGACCAAGAGCCAGCAAATGTAGGGTAAGAGTGTGTGTGTGTGTACCAAGGAGAGAGGAGTCCTCATTGTTTATTTCCTTTCTTCCAAGAGACACATGCATCTCAGGAACAACACTGTGGCCCTTGCAATGTGGAGCTGTTTGGGAGGTACTGAGTCTTGGAGCCACCAAGGATGCCAGCAGGGCAAAGAGGCCCAAGGAGGCCAAAGCAAAGC